CCAGAGAAGCTCTGCGGTGGAGTGATGGGCTGGGAGGGAGTTGGGGCAGCGACAGCATGAGCTCCGTACAGAGGAGGGGAGGCTGGGGTGGGGTCAGGTTCACAGGATGAAGTGCAGTGGATCAGACAGCGGAGGCTGGATCTTAGCTCTGCTATTTACAGGCAGTGTGACCTGTGTAACCTCTCCAGGACTCACTCAGTTTCCATCATCTGTAAAAAGGACAATAATTCCTATGCTGCTCAGTACCTGTAAAGGCTAAAGATAATGGCTGTAAAATGCCCGGCACATGGTACATCTATCATTATCAGAGGGTAGTAAGGGCCACGGCTTCTGGAACAGATAGACCCCAGAGATATGGTAGAATGGAAAGGTGTGCTCGGAAGAATATGGCTTGATCCAAGTGTGACATGCAGGAGGAGCTTGGAAAGTTCTCAGGCAGGAGAGTCTTGGAAGGGAGATGAGACTAGGGCTGCAGAGATCCTCCTAGGGATGGCGACAGCCAGGCAGGGTGGCAGCTGAAGGAAGACAAGTTAAGGAAGCCATTGCCACGGAAGACTGGTTGGATGGGCAGGGTGAGTCATGGCTGATGCCTCAATTCCAGCCTGGGGATAGGGAGGGGTGGGGCTGCCTTTGGCAGAGTTGGGGAAACTGGAACAGACCTGAGGAACTGGGTGGAGGATGATTTTACTTTAAGATGCATCTGAGATGACAGCAAGACATTGGTGCTATTCACGGGGACAGGGATGGCTCCAGAGAGGGGGACAGAGGCCCTGCCTTTGAGGCAGCAGAGAAGGGTAAGCAGACAGAGGATGGGCATGGGGTCATGTTGAAGGGAAGACGGCTATGGGCAAGTTCCTCCTTCTAGTCACTCTGTGTTCCCAGAGAGATAGCAAGCAAGGCCACCTGCTCGAGGACTTGCACCTTCAAGGACAGCGCCTGGAGTCCCTTCGTCCTCAGGCCTGGCACACACTCTTCAGTTCTGCAGGGATGGTGGAGGCTGCAGCAGTGCAGCACAGCCTCTGTTCAAACAAGCAAACTAGAAACTCATGATTTCTATGATTTCATGATTGCACGTGAGAAGGCCAGAGGAGCTGCTCACCTGGTCCCCAAGGGCTGACCCTGGTGGAGGGGTCCCCACATCTCCTGTGCCATGGTGTTAAATGATTGAGAAGGTTTGTCTCATCCCCCCTCATTCTTGACATCATACTTAGAGCCCTAAGAACTTCAAGCTAATGATAGGGAGGCAGAATCACTTTCCAACATTTCTGCATTTGGTTTTTAAAGTCATCTCATAATCTTCTTAGGTGTTTTTTAACTAAGTCCCTAAGGAAATCAAGTGAGAGAAACTGAGATTGCTTATCACACACAATTTCAACAGAACAACCCAAAATGAATTATAGAGGCACCAGAGTTTCCATAATTATATTTATAAGGTACGTGAAGCCACCCAGGACTATTCTTGGGGAGGAAGACACATTCAGATTCCAGGCTGGCTTTTTATTGATGGTGTACCACCCTCTGCTTCAATCCTAAAAATTTTAATTTAGTGAAGAGCTTGATTATTTCTTAATGTGATAGAGTATGAAGGTCACAACATCACCTATGAATGTTTTTTCTAAAAACATTTCACCTGAATCTAATTGAGGCCTTACTTCCAGTTTATAGTCAACACAGAGTATGGAGGAACCAGTTAAATGATGCCAGGTGGAAACAATCAGACAGACTGTGGGGAGGGCAGGCAGAAACGTTGCTGACTTCACAGAAGCTGGCCCCAGCCTGCTTGATCTGTGCCCACATCCCTGAAGCAGCTGAAAAGGCCTGATACTTGACTTCCAGCCTCCCTTGCAGCTAAGGGTGATCATGAAACCCACTTCTGGACAATGAGAAGTAAGGGGAAACTTGCTGGGTGGCTTTAAAAATGATTTTCCTAAGGGAAGCCCCTTGGCTCACTTGGGAGAGCATGGTGCTGACAAC